TTACTGTGGTATACTAAGCCACAAATCATATTTAAGGGGGGTACTTTGGTATCTCCCAGCAAAATTTATTGACTTCCTGAAAAGCAATCATGGAACCAACAGTCAAGTAATTTGAAATGCCAAGCAGTTGTCTCTGAGAAACCCCCATTCATTTGCCCAATTTAAAGGAAACAAGTGATTTCACTGACAAGAATAAAAATGGTTACCAGTGAGTACAAAGTATATGATGACATGCACAAGGCTGTATATGGGAATAGGAAGGTGTTATCTAGTGATTTTAAATAACTGACATCAAGTCTGAGTAGGCACAAATCTCAGTGGCACAATGACAGCTTGAGGCACTAGCTGGGATAGATGCTTTAGGGATATCTTAACATTCAGGATAAATAAAGCCAAGCCTCTCAGTGGGCGGGAGAGGGGAATCTACTGCCCTCCTGGGCTGCCAGGGTACAGAGTGAGATGCATCTCAGGGTGCCAGCACCCCAAACTAGAGTGAGCTATTCTGAGACCATGCCATCTTGAATTTGAGAATGTGCCGGCAGAAAAGGAGGTGATCCTTTCATTTGAAATCTGTAGAGGAAGCAGATAGCAATGCCTGATATTTCTTAAAAGAGATTCTCATCTGTGGCAGAGAATCTAAAAGGATTACTTGTCGAGGACCTGGCTCCATCCATTACAATAGAAGAAAACCTGTTTAGCAAAAACTACTTTATTGTGGGGAAAAAATGACTTTGGAACATTTGAAATACCTTGACCTATGATGTAATGTCCTCCAAGGAGACTGAGCTAGCAATTCTTCACTGGCAATGAAGTCACCCATCACCTTACTGAGTGTACAGGTAAGTAATAGCTACAGATTGATTGACTGCAATGAATAACACCCACAAGTCATAAACATCAGCAGAAACCCAAGGAATCCAATTCTGCTGCATTGTTTTCTACCTATCAGAGGCAACAGCTGCATTGACACACTGCCTATGTCAGAACCATGGCTGCTGTACATTTTCCTCTGCAAATTGTTTCCCAGTGGATGAGATTTTAGCATTTTTGTTCAACAGATCTACTGGGGCCCTATGTGATCCACATAAATTTGGACTCCATTCCGTAGGACCTGAGATCACAGTACAGGCATTGCCTCCTATTAAGAGCCCTGAGTAGAGTTTTAATGACCCCATAGCAACTTTGGCTAAAAGGGATCTTAATGAGCATTTACTTAGAACCTATCATATTTAATACTGTACAGCTGGTATGCAGAGATAAAGGGGAAAAAGACAAGAGAACACACAATGAGAACTTATAAAGGCTAAGGAAACAAAACAGTAAGGAACAAATGGTAAGATTAATTGTGTGGAATTGCTAGAGGAAGAGTTTGTAATCTTTATAAGAAAGAAGATGAATCAGCCAGGCACGGTGGCTCACACCTGTATCAGCCAGGTGGCTCACACCTGAATCAGCCAGGCACGGTGGCTCACAGCACTTTGAGAGGCCCAAGCAGGCAGATCACGAGGTCAGGAGATCGAGACCATCCTGGCTAACAAGGTGAAACCCCATCTCTACTAAAAACACAAAAAGTTAGCCAGGTGTGGTGGCGGGCACCTGTAGTCCCAGCTACTCGGGAGGCTGAGGCAGAAGAATGGCATGAACCCGGGAGGTGGAGCTTGCAGTGAGCTGAGATTGCGCCACTGCACTACAGCCTGGGTTACAGAGCAAGACTCCGTCTCAAAAAAAGATGATGATGAATAAGAAACCAAATGTAGTAGCCTAAGAGACATTCAGTAACATACAGAAAGAAATGAGATTTCCAAAAGGTAGCATTTTTATAAATACATAATTAAAATAAGAAATTAAATGTTTACTAATAATTATGTCAATATCACAAAAAAGTTCAAAGAATATAAGATCCAATTCCTATCATTAAGAATTTTATGGCCGGGCACGGCGGCTCACGCCTGTAATCCCAGCACTTTGGGAAGCCAAGGCGGGTGGATCACTTGAGGTCAGGAGTTTGAAATCAGCCTGGCCAACATGGTGAAACCCCATCTCTACTAAAAGTACAAAAAGTAGCCAATGCGGTGGCACATGCCTGTAATCCCAGCTACTTGGGAGGCTGAGGCACGAGAATCACTTGAACCCAGGAAGTGGAGGTTGCAGTGGGCTGAGATCGTACCACTGCACCCCAGCCTGGGTGACGGAGTGAGACTCCGTCTTTGCCACCCCGCCACCCAACCCACGAAAAAAAAAAAACCAATTTTATGATCTAGCTTGGGGTAAGGGAAAGTTTAGATAGACATGTAGAAACATTTATTCCACATAAATATCAAATAATACTAAAAGGCAAATATTAAACAATACTCAAAGGCGACTTGAATTTCTTAGCGCCAAATAATGCGTATCAGCAGAAATATTGACAAGGGATCTCTCTAGAGGCTCCTTGTAGATTAGAGCATGGGGAAGACTTTCTGGAGGTGAAGATTAAATTAGACCGTGAAGATAGGTCAGGATTGGCTTGTGCAAAAAAGCACAATGGATATTTGAGGCAAAGAGAACCAAAGCATGTGGGAAGCACACACAGGCTACTGGGAGGCAGCAATGCAGGACCCTAGAAGAGTGTTTTTCTAAACAAAAGAGGTGGAGAAATCACTTATCCTAATTACACTCCTCAGAGAAGCAGCTTATACTCAGCACAGCCCTGGAAGCAGGCGAGGAGCAGCGGATGGTCTTCTCTAGCAAGGCTCACTCATTGTCACCTGAAAACTCCTTAGAAAGGCAGGCTCTCAGGTCCCTTCTCAGACCTACTGAATCCTCAGCTCTGGGATGGGGCCAGCAGAGTGGGTCTTAGTGAGACCTACAGGGGGTTCTGGTGCGTGCCCAAGTCCAAGAGGCACATACCTATATACAAACTTGCTAACATAATGACAAATCGTGACCGATACACACTCATCAGTAAATCCTTTAAAAGATACATAAGAAACATTTTAATATATACTTCAGAGAAACATAGATGTATTCCATCCATGGCACAGGAAAAAAAAAAAAAAAAGAACAAGTTTCTGAAGTAGGAGAAAGTCTCCATTAAAAAAAAAAAAAAAAAAAAAAAAATCTCCTCTCCAGGCTTGCTTCAACTACTCCCCCCAACCCCCTTTTTGGCCTCTCAAGGTTGGAGTGCTTTTCATGACATTTAAAAATGCGTATGAATAGGAAGCTAGGGAATTCACTCCTCATTTGATTTATGACCAAAAATATCAAGCCCTTCTTGTTTCAGGCATGGACGTGTTGTGAATTGAGTGTTGGCTGTACCATGGCTCATAATGTCACTTTTCTGCAGAACTACTATGGAAGAAAGATGACTGCCTAAACTGCACTCCACTGCCTGTGATATCCACTTACCGAAAGGCATAATTAGGGATCTGGTTTTCACTAAAACACACACACAAGCTAAATTCCACCTCAAGTGTAACCAGGATTATAGATTCTGGGTGCCTAGGTAACTACTGTTATTGTTGCTTGTAGTACTACGGTGAAACAAAATTTTTATTGTGGAAAAGGAACAGTAACGGTGACAAGCATACCTGAGTAATGTAGGATTTAAATCCACAATCCTCAGCATAAAAAATAAGCACAGATGAAAACATTGGCAGGAAAAATCTCATCTGGAGAATGTGTTTCCATACTTGGAGTCCCAGTTAGATTTTCAAAGTCTTCAGGTCACCCCCAAATTCTGGCATGCCAAATGTCTCCCAGCCTCTCTTAATACTTAATAAGTTCATAATCATTTCATGTGAATCCAGCAGTAACTATAAAAAGCCAAGTAATCTGAGGAACACTTTCCAGTCCATTTAAAGTCCCAAGAATGCCCAGCTAGGGTCAGATGACACCATTATCTATAATTTATTTTAAGCAACTTTGGCTTCAAAAAAAATTTTTTTAAGACTCTCTGGATAGGCTGGGCATGGTGGCTCACGCCTGTAATCCCAGCACTTTGGGAGGCTGAGGCAGGTGGATCACCTGAGGTCAGGAGTTCCAGACCAGCCTGGCCAAGATGGTGAAACCCCATATCTACTAAAAATACAAAAATTAGCTGGGTGTGGTGGCGAACACCTGTAATCCCAGCTACTTGGGAGGCTGAGGCAGAATAATCACTTAAACCCAGGAGGTGGAGGTTGCAGTGAGCCAAGATGACAGCACTGCACTCCACCCTGGGCAACAAGAGCAAAACTCCATCTTTAAAAAAAGACTCTCTGGATGAATTATAAATGCATTTTTAGATAAAATTTGATTGACTAATCAAGTACTGTCTTGTAATTATTAGTGGAGTTTTCTCTTCTCTGAACACTTGTTTGAAACATGATGCCCTTTTGGGTTCCACATCACCACCATCCTGCCTTTAAACAGCCTTGGTCAACACAGCCAGACAAGCCCTCACAGGTTCAAGGTACTTTATTTGTATTAATATTATTCGTCCTAATATACTTGAGCTGATCTGCACATGCCTGGCACTAAACCAAACTGAGAAGATACAATCAAACATGTCAACCATCACGTCTCAACTCTGCAGGACGCTATCGAGCAAAACAGAGCAGAATGCTAGCATACTGCTCTCAGAAATTCATGTAAGTAAAATATCATTCTATAGACAGTTTCAACAGTCTGTCCATCAGCATGCATTCTCACATCTCTAAAAGTCTGCATAACTAGTGGGGAAATATCTTGGGTAGGATAGTAACAAATTTCCTTTGCAGAATCCAAAACTGCCCAGGAATTGAACTTAGATCAGATTTGACATAGCATCCATCTACCCTTCCATACTAGAAACAAAGAGAGTATTCAAGGAAGGCTCTGTTTTAAGGACCCTTCTCCCTTTGGTGGCCCCTCTGATAAGACAATAAGGGTTCCTTGATGTAATGGCTTCAGCACCCACTGGTCACTGCTCATGAAAACTTCAAAAGGAACTAAGTCATGCCTTCCTCCCTTCAGCACCCAACAGAAGCATGGTGACTTACATAGTGGATGCCCAGTCTCCAAAGCTCCCTCCGTCTGCCAGAAGGTGGTTTTTGTCTGGTCCAGGAGGCCCAGGGAGAGCTGCAGTCACGGGAGACGGGGAGGAAAGTGAGTCCAGACTGCCAGTAGGGGTGTCCTCCTTGGAAGGGTTAGGATTGTCACCTAGGAGGAAAAAAAGGCATCGAATTTCAAACAAATACCAGAGAAGAAAAAACTCCACTAATAATTATGGTGTTACTTGATTTGTTAATCAAATGATAAAATTACATTTACAGTTCAGCCTGACAGTATCTGGGTGTCCTGTCTTTACATTTTTTTTTTTAATCAAAGATGCTTAAAATAAACCACAGATAATACACAGTGAGGAATGTTTTCCCTACAAAAAAACACAATGCTCAAAATCAGATAATGGAAGATAAAAGGCACAATGGTGGCCACAATGACTTCCTCACTATAAGCAGTCCAGGTATAAACCAATGAAATCAAGAACAGCTCCAAGCAGCACACCAGCCCTGTGGGGTCCAACCTGTTCCTTTCTGGTCACCTATTGGTTAAGTCATTCTCAGTTGCCACTTACTGCATAATAAATTAGACAACTCTAAAAGAGCCTTGTCTTCTGAGCTGGTATCTTGGATTATAATTTCTTCTTTTTTTTTTTTTTTTTTTTTTTTTTTTTTGAGACGGAGTCTCGCTCTGTCGCCCAGGCTGGAGTGCAGTGGCCAGATCTCAGCTCACTGAAAGCCGCCTCCTGGGTTCACGCCATTCTCCTACCTCAGCCTCCCGAGTAGCTGGGACTACAGGCGCCCGCCACCTCGCCCGGCTAGTTTTTTGTATTTTTTAGTAGAGACGGGGTTTCACCGTGTTAGCCAGGATGGTCTCGATCTCCTGACCTCATGATCCGCCCGTGTCGGCCTCCCAAAGTGCTGGGATTACAGGCTTGAGCCACCGCGCCCGGCCCTTGGATTATAATTTCTAATACCCCAACATTAAAATCCCACACATAGACAAACTTCCATTTCCCTTTGGACATCAGGGAGGGTACTACAAAAGAGTTAGGCTTTTGTGGTGATGGCACAGGATGAATTTAAACCGAAGCTAATTTTTTTTAAATGAGTTGCACAATGTATGCATTCACAGGGGACCATTTTATTAAATATGTTTAGTATAATATAATTTGTGTACATTATGGGCTTGGGTAGAAAATGCTGAAGATGGAAGAGAGAGCTCACAAGAGCAGTTATTTCCCTCTACTGGTCTTGCTTTCATGGTCCTCCCAGCTACTATAAAATGCACCTGATCTGCACCCATCAAGGCTCGGCCCTTAGGCCTAATCCTCAGTCCCCATTAAATATTAACTGCTCCAGGCAATCCTGCAGAGGCAGCAATGTTCTATAAAGATAGCACTGACTTGGCCTTGGGTTTATAGGTGATGGTCCTAAACTGCTATGGAAGCAAATGTGACACATATAGAGGTTCATAACCCCAGCCCCCAACAGCTTATAGCTGATTAAAGCTTCATGTTTCCTCAGTCCCAGGCCCTAGAAACAGCAAGCAAGAACTCCAGCAACAGCAAGGACCTTGCTCTCAAAAAACATCTTAGATGGTTTTTTTTTTGTTTTTTTTTTTGAGATAGGGTTTCACTCTTGTTGCCCAGGCTGGAGTGCAATGATGCGATCTCGGCTCACCGCAACCTCCGCCTCCCAGGTTCAAGCAATTTTCCTGCCTCAGCCTCCCGAGTAGCTGGGATTACAGGCATGCACCATCACACCCGGTTAATTTTGTATTTTTAGTAGAGATGGGGTTTCTCCACGTTGAGTCTGGTCTCAAACTCCTGACCTCAGGTGATCCGCCCACCTCGGCCTCCCAAAGTACTGGGATTATAGGCGTGAGCCACCGTGCCCAGTCAGATGGATTTCAATTCTAAAAATGAAGCACAGGAGAAATTCCAGGCTCTGATTAAGCTAGCTCCCCAGACTGTAATCTTGAAAACTGATTGTACAAAGTAATTCTTATTGACTCCTGACCCAGCTTACAATGAAGGGTTAAGAGAGAAAATCTTACAAACGGAGCTCTAGAACAACGGAATCCAGACAAGCAGGACTTGGAGATGGTGGTGACTGCTGGAAGAAGAAATTGTTTATGATGGGTACTGCGGGGGACACCTGGCGGACCCTGTGCAGAAGATTCTGATGAGGAAGAGTTTTCTGCATGAGTGCTGCGCGCTAACCAGCTGCACCACTGGAACTCCAAAGAGTTTTCTGAGCTCTTTCTTTCGTAAGTGTGTTCCCAGGGAGGGTGGGGGAGATGGCTGAGCAAGAGATGAACCGTATCTCCACAGGGCAGTTCTTCTCCCTGTCCTGAGTCTATTTATAAAGTCTAGAAGACTCTACAATTGCTCTTTCAGTGAAGCCACTTTTTCCACAGTGCTTCACCACAAAAACGTTTAGCTAATTGGAGAAATTCAGCTCCAACAGAAGGGCCAATTTTCAGGCAAATGGACCAAAACCCACTGGTAGACCACTGCTATGATTTCCTTTTAATTTATTTTCTTTCTGGGATCCAGTCCACTTTGGAACAAAGACCACGTCATCCCCTGTGCCCAGCGAGCTCAACTCCATCCAGTTATTTTCTATGAAAGAGCCCAAGTGCCGCGAGGGGGCTGGCCTCCAGCCTTCCCCGGCCCCTCCCTGTGTCTTTCATTCATCATGAGCAATGACTCCCCCCAAAATTAAGAGAATCTCAAATGGAACACCAGCACAGAGTCCAGAGTAAACCTGAACATTGACCTGGCAGACGGCTGCCCTCAGGGCTCAGCTAGACGCACCAAACTGTCATCAGTTCTGAAGCAGAACAGGATCACCTTCACAGCAAGTCAGATGCCAGCAGCTCCCTGGCTGCAGGAGGCTGGACCCAGGCCCTCAGTCCTCCCTGGGCTGTGTGCCCTGACGGCCGGGCAAGGCATGACATGGCAGAAGCAGCAAAGGAGAGTCTGGGACCGGTTTATTCCCTGACTCACTCCTACCAAGAGAAACCTGTCAATGAGAAGCAACTTTGGGGAACTGGAGACCAGGGGTTTAATGTTACTTCTGAAAGATGCCTGAAATGTTTTTACAACCAGATACAGCAGATCATTTACACTGCCTCTAATCCTTTCCCCAAGCAGACTGACACAGCACAAATTGTCATTCAACATATTAAATCACATTCTATTAAGAGAGTTTTCTCTTCCTTCCTGCCAAACAGTGGCAATCTGAACCCTCAAGTGAAAATAATATTGGTAGAAGGGAATGTTGACACAGGCTGATCAAAGGAGAAGCTACCTCACCCTACTTTCCAAGTGTACAGAGCTCCTTCCTCCTTCACTGTTCAGGAATGAGTTTACCTACTTGAGAGAATCACTGAATTTGAGGGAGAATAAATTATCAGGTACATAAACATTAAATACTCACAACCATTTCTGAAACTTTAGTTCACCAAAAATCAAATTAGCATTTTTTAACTAGTGTGAAAATAATAAAACTTAAAAAACATTCTATGTTCAACTTTTAGAATGAATACATATATATATGAAAAAACGCATATACATTTTTCCTTATACATTTTTCATATATATTTATATATCTATATTTATACATCTAAAATATGTGAGAGAGACAGTGTGTGTGTGTGTGTGTGCGTGTGTATCTTTTTTAAGAGACAGGGTCTCCCTATGTTGCCCAGCCTGATCTCAGACTTCTAGGTTCAAGTGATTCTCATGTCTTGACTTCTCAAAGTATTGGGATTACAAATGTGAGTCACCACCCATGGCGGGGAATAAAGATTTTAAATCCCACGAAACTAACTTAAAATTGAGAATTAAAGTCAGATACACTCATTATTTTTCCCTATCATTTCTTCTGAGTGAAGAATCTCTCACACAATCTCTCCCCTCAGGTGTTACCCTTTAACAGGCATCTACAAACAGACAAATCACCTCTGGATAAAAAGGGTGTTCCAGCGAGTGAACAAAAATGGTACCAAAGGATTTATGAACAGACTCTAAGACACTCACTGGAAAATGAACTACCGCCGATTAGAGAGAAAACGACTTCCTCGCAGCATCCTCAGATTAATTCCCACAAGGTACTTGCCAAACCCCTCCTCTCCTGATTCTTTTCTCCTTTCTCACAGCTGTCTGAAGCCATCAATTTTGCATTTCGCCATCATATACTGGTTTTATAACTTGGTTTAAGGTGTCCATTTCCCTTGTACATTTTGTCAGGGTGGAGACCATGTCTTGGTCTTGGGAAGCCTTAGAGAACACAAAGCATTGCCAGGCAATCCAGGAGTCATCAGGAAGTATGGCAGACTCACTGCCACAAGAAAAGCATGAGCATGGAGAGCCACTGCCTCTAGAAATTGAGAAGGGAAAAAAATCTGAAGACCCCAACATATTATCACAAAACCTGCACACAGTTTTGGATTCTCATCCTCTCCCGTTTTGAGCCACAAGCACCTCTAATCTGCTTTATTCACCCAACTAGCATTGACTGAGCTTCTCCTTATGTACAAAGGCACACCACAGATGCTGAATTACACAGATAGAGAAGCAGTCCCTAACCCAAAGATGCCCAGAGTATAATGCAGAAGACAGGCAAAGACAAACAAGATGGTGTTTGCTGTAATATGGTTACGTCAAGAAGCTTTGAGACCCAGAAAAAGGAGTTTTCAAAGTTACCAGTGTCAGGAGCGAAAGACATGTGGGAGTGCAGCAACAGGAACAGGAAGAAATTATTGCCAGTTTCAAAGAAAAAGCCTCTGGTAAAGAAAATATCAAAACTGAAAGAACAGAAACAGGAGAGCATGTGGCCATTTTCAGAGCCACAGTAGTTGGATTTTGTTGGAGAACAGAGTCAAAGGCAGAAAGCAGGTGCATGAAGTAGGGTTAAGAACTTCGTATCTAATGTAAAGGCATACGAATTTACTCTGCAGACACTGGGAAGGTACTGCAGGGATTAAGCAGAGAAGTGATATGATCGGAGAATAGCTCCAAAATATATTCCGTTATGACAGTCATTAGAACTCAGTGAACAAAGGTGAAGGGTGAGAGAGAAACTTAAGATGAGCCTCGGGTTCATGGCTTGGGAACTGAGTATATGGTAGAATCATTAACTGAAATAGGG